GAAATAGGGACTCTAAGACCCGGAAGCTCTAGCCAGAGTGCATCTGCTCACAACCCTAGAGCAAGACTTGGAAGAAAGAAAGAAACGCCAATCAAGCAGCTAAATCAGCCAAATCAACCCCAATTATCAACAGAATGATAAAAATTTTAAGGCAATTTCTATGAGACCTTGATATGATAAAAATCTTTCTGGCAGAGCCTTTTCCCTTAGACACCATTCATCTCCACATGACTCTATGTAAAGGACTAGGAAAAATAAAACAAAAGAATTACTAAATTTCCTTTGGGGATAGGAAGAGTAGACAAAAGGAGAAGCAGAGAAAACAAAATGGACAGATGTCACACATGGGCTGACTTTTGGACATGTTTCCCTATATGCCACTTCTAGAAATAGAAAGGAAAACAGAGTGGCAAAGGATAAAGATCAGATAAAAAAAAGATTCAGGAGTCCTTAACAGCACAATAACACCGCATTTTTAATCACAGGGATATACCATACCAATGGGATTAATAAGCATAAATTCTGAAAGACCATAAAATTCCCTTTAAAAAAAAAAAATTCAATCAAGTTTTTGTGCTAGAGGCATAATGGTATTATATGGGCTCTGAAGTCTTACCAAGGTTTGAATCACATATTCTACCACTTAGTATCTATAAAATGGAGATAGCTGCTACTTCATAGGGCTGTTGTAATGATTAAATAACATAAGTTGAGCATTTTTTTTAAGTGCATGCCCCACAGAGAGTGCTCAATAAATAATAGTTTCTCTGAACTTTGAATTATTGGCCATGGAAATAGAAAAAAAACATTCCTTTGCCCTGCTATGCTCTTTCAACACTCGGTACATGCCCTACTACAGTGCTTATCACAACGTTCTATAATTATTAAGAGTCTGAGCCCCTCACTTGACTAAGGAGCTCTTAGGAAAGCTAAACATTATCTGAATCATTTGCATTTCCCTAGTGCTTATTAGCACAGGGTTCAGCACAATGCAGGTGCTCCACAAAGGTTTACTGTTGAATTTATGTAGAATTATTCAAGCACAATTGTTAGGATTTGGGAACGATTTCATGCTAAACATTAAGCAGTGTGTTTACGTCTTCTTATGCTTGCCATTGATCAGATACAAATCCCCAGGAATAAGGGACATAGAATGGCTTTACCAGTAGTAAAACAGAATGGAGGGCTTACTGGAAATATGGTGACAACATGCAGCCAAAACAAATGATCCAATTTGCTACATGTGTATTTATTTACAGGTAGCAGAATTAGTCTGTTTCATAACTATTTTCCAAATAATTCTGTTTTCTTTGAAGCATTAATATGTAGCAATGGATAAGAACTCTGAGATTTGAAGTTCACCTTCAGGGATAGAGGACACCTCTGAGGTCTGAAGTTCAATTTATATCAACTTACATGTAAGTGTATTCTTTTTTTAAAGATTTATTTATTTATTTCGGGGGGTTGGGCACACACGCATGAGCAGGGGGAGGGGCAGAGGGAGAAGGAGAGAGAGAATCTCAAGCAGACTCCCCACTGAGCGCAGAGCCCAACCCAGGGATTGATTCCACCACCCTGAGATCATGACCCAAGCCAAAATCAATAGTCAGATGCTCAACTGACTGAACCACCCAGGCACCCCTTTATGTAAGTATATTCTTTGAGGACCGTTTTATAGTTTGTAAGAACCACTCACAGTAGACAGAAGAATCACTTGGGAGAGTTTACTGAAAATCAAGAATTTCACCGCTAGAGAGACTCAGCAGGTATGCAGTGGGGCTCAGAAAATTGCATTTTTAAATAACCATCCCCAGTAATTCTTTTTAAAAAAATATTTATTTATTTGAGAGAGACAGAGAGGGAGAGAGCATGCATAAGTGGGAGGAGCAGGGATAGGGAGAGAGAATCTCAAGCATACTCCACACTGAGCGCAGAGCCGGACATGGCCTGATCTCATGACCCTGAGATCACGACCTAAGCTGAACCAAGAGTCAGATGCATAAATATCTGCACCACTCAGGCACCCCATCCACACCCTAATTCTTAATGCAGTTCCAAGCACCATACTGTGAGAAAGAACCGTAATACCATTTAATCCCTACAACCCAATCCTGTGACATACTCATGATGATCATTTAACAAATGTTAGAAACTAAGGTGTTCAAAAAGGTTTGGTAATTTACCCAAGGTAACTCCCTTCAACAAGTTGCACCAACAGGACTCAGACCTTTTTAAAACCTATACCCTACTACATTACTTTTTAAAGACCATGCCATAAAAACAATACACAGGAGTTGAGGTCCTAAAATCAACTTTATTTTCAGCAAAACTGAAAATTTCAAATACTTTACAGAAGGTTCTGACACAAGTATCTATTAGATAAGTTCTAATTCAAAAATCAAAAATTCTAATTCAGAATATCCATATTCCTTTTCAACTAATTTTAATTGACTCAATTTTTTATAGTCTCTTAAAAAACAAGTTTTAGGGCGCCTGGGTGGCTCAGTCGTTAAGCATCTGCCTTCGGCTCAGGTCATGATCC